ATAAAATAAGTTATTTTATTTTATTTGTATTTTTTTCAGGAAAGCTGCAGAAGTTTTTTAGTCTCAATTTTCCACCTCAGCAGCAACAAAGATGCTCAGCCTTTTTTTTTTCTGACCCTACTAGTTGAAGTAGTAACTAGGAGAGCACGACTAACTAGTTGATGGGAGAAACTATGGGATGCATCGTCATGGCAACAGACCAGACGTCACAATCTGGGCATGTGTGTTCCATTTTTGTCTTTCTTATTTTTCAGTCTGCAAGACCTGGATAGAGATCTGTGGGGGGGAATATATAAGTGTTATTTTTTTGTATTTTTTTTTTTTAAATCCAGAGAGAAAGAAAATATTTTTTTATTATTTTTTTTAGGAAAAGGTTAAAAAAAGGAAAATCCTCAGCGGTGAGCAGAGTTGCTTTTTGGGTGAAGAAAGAGGCTGAGCTGCGGCGAGCAGAGGGTTAAACTTTCAGTGTTCCCAGCCTGAAAGAGGGGGTTCGTGGGGGGCTATGAGATAAGGATGCCGGGGTCGCTGAGTAATGAGGACGAGGGACAGGACGACATGGATTTTGAAGACGATCTGCCAGGTGAGGGGGGTGAGGAGGCGGGGTGTCCTTCAGGTTATTTTAGCGCCGCTCCGCCGCCGTGAATGCGGGGAAAAGGGCTCGTCCTGCGTTCCTGAGACCGAGGAGGAGGAGGAGGAGGAGTGCTGCAATAAGCAGAGTCATTCCCCCTCCTCCCCTGCAGCCTACGACCCGGTGTCTTCAAGGTGGATGTGTTTGGATTTGCCTCCGGCTGTCCTCGCATTCAGCCGGCTTCATTGACGGAGACGCCGCTGCATGTTTTATTTCTCTCCCCCTCCCTCTGCTGCCAGGCGCGTGCACCGTGCACGCTTTAAACTGCCTAAATATAAAACAAACACAAGTTGAACGTCCAGGGGAGCTGCTATTCTCTGCAGGGATTCAGCCCCGAAGAAATGAGCCGCATCGTTTTCGAGGAGGACCAGGAAGCTGCTGCTCCAACTTTATTAATTCAGCTCTTTTTTTTTCTTTTCTTTTTTTGTGTTGCACTGCATGGCCGCAGAGGTGGGAGAGCCACGTGTGGGCTACAAACAGCACCGGGTTCTGGTGACGGGCTTTAGGTTGCGCATTAACCCAAATTTACCTCCAACCCAGTTTCCTTCAGATGCACTGCAAAAACAAACTGTTGAAATGAGTGCAGCATAATTATTATGTCCCAGTTTGCATCATTTCAACTCTGTTTTATACAGTTTAAAACAGTAACGGTAGAGATTTTTCGATGCAGATTGTGGAAAAGTTCCACGTTTACACAGTAATGTCCTCTTTAGATCCACTGTAGTTTCCATGGCGCTGTGGTTTTTGTGTTTCAGCAACAYATCTACTCACAAACTTGAGTCTCGAGCACGAAAACGGCCACGTCCAAAATGGTGAACTGTTAGGATGAGGTTGGGTTACACAGCCGATGTAGCATCAGTTTGTCTGGTCCAGTTCTGGACCACACAAGGTCCTAAGCACTCTTAAGAGCTGGCCCAGACACACGAAGAGTGACGGCTCTTTGGTGTTTGCCAGAGGTGGTCCACTCTTGGGCCAGCACCGCACAAACCAAACCACAACCAGTGCAGTTGGTATGCCATTGTTGCCGTACACCACCATGTGATTTAAATGAATGTTTTGTGAAAGTTATGGATTTGCGAGGCTCGTTATTCTGCCTAATCAAGCCTATTGTGAGGCAATGGCCCTCTTTTGCATGTGACTAACCTGTTTGTCCATGTGGAGGCAGTGCTCGTAAGGCTGAGTTCACCTGAAACTCATCAGACTGAAGAAGTCTCTTGGAGGAGAGAYGAAACATTTCACTAAAGAATAACTCATCCAGAGGACCTACTTATTTTTTCTTTTTGAGTTATTCCGCCTCAGTTGATTTACTAATTGATGCCGGTGTTCTGTCGAAGTGGCACACCCTGTCAGAATAGTTTACCAGAAGTTGATTGTTATAGCTCCATCTCTCAGTTTAGGTTACTTTATCGGAACAACATACCAATGTTTGTAAAGGGGTCTGCTGTTCTCACAGTTTGGTTTTATATAAAATACACTTTATAGAGGAATATGCTATTCTAAACCTAACCCAGGTTACTTTTTCTAAAACTAACCTTAGTTGTTTTATGCCCCCACCCCCACTTGCTTAAAAAAAACAGATAACCTTAGTGTATATAGAAAACTTACCGCTTGTAGTTGGAGGTATGGTTGAAGGTATCGCTTGAGGGTGCTATTCTGATGGTATTCTGTCGGAACATCGGGGCGTTTCCAAAAGCCTCTCTGAAGCCTGGATTCAAAATGTTTCGATGTACGCAAACAGCCGAAATGCAACAGAAATGCTGCGGTTTCGCTTAAAACTTCCCTGTGCAAACTGGGTCATAGGTTTTTGTTCTCCGAAACGTACAGTGGAGCGTTTGACAACCGGTCATTTTCTCTTTGACGCACACCTTCATGCATGTGACCAAGGCATGTCTTTTTTGTTGGCAAACAGAGCCTAATGACTCTCCAGTGGGAGGGGAGTGAGATTAATCTGCTACCTGTGTAGTTTGAAGCTTGGAACTCTACACTGAAGTGAAACGGTTTTAACAAAAGATTAGAAGTCCTGTAATTAAAAAAAAGCATGCAAGCCAAATTTCTTTTAAATTCTCTGGTGGCTGAAAATAAGAAAACAATCTACAGCCTTGAACCAGATGTCCTTTTCTCTTCCTAAAAGTGTTTGGTTCTCTTCATATCACGTAAGATGTAACTGTCAACGGACATTTTGATTCTTTGCGGCTCACAGATGTAGCAGATTTGAACGTCAAAACCTGAAGCACCTGATTAGGTTGGAAAATCCAAATATTTGACAGTGGTTCACTTGAAGCATTTTGTTATTATCAGTTAAACCAACTGGAGATAAACAATCAGCAGATTTCAGACAATTAACTTTCATTAACAGGTATAAGAATTACAGATAATGTCAGGGATTCAGCTCGGACTTCTTGCAAAACGCTGCCTTCACGCTGCCACTACGGAGGTCCATCCTTTGGGGGAGGCTTCAGAMCCATAAACACCATCCCATCAACACTTTTATTTGTCATAGCACAAGGATTGGCCTAAGTCCCTTTGTGTTACCCAAGAAGCTTACACTGTCACAGACTGTTTAGTTGTGTTTTCTGATTTAATTGCTTAGCTCACTCCTAAAATTAAAAGATTATGACGGGCTTTTGTGTGCTCGCAAATGTTATCCTCAGTTGGATAAGGGTCTATTTTTGGATCCTTACTGTGAAAGTTGACACAATTTCTCTTGCTGTACGTGCACATAACCTAAAATAACTGCGTCTGCAGATTAGCAAGTTTTCCTTTGCTGGTAACTGGACTCCTGATGGATTTACAGTAGATTTAATTTAGACTTTATCCTTCCATCAATTTGATGATTTAAGACTTCAATAATAATKTTTGAGTGTGTTTGTCTGAAGGTATTTGAAGACTTATTCATGAAGGTAGGAAATCTTTTTATCCAACTTTTTTTAAGCACTGCTGGGCAACATGAAGTAGATATTTTTACACAGCTGCCAACAGAGAAAGAATGAATGTGCTTTTTTTAGTTCAGTCCAGCCTCCTCTCTTGGGAGTTGCTTGTGGATCTCATTTGAATGGGTCAGTCTGCTGGCCGAGCTCTTGCAGGAAGGTCAGGAGTGTTTCTGTGTCATCCATTCACGTTTTGCTAAGAGCGATGGTTTGGCAAGCGGAGCTTTTGATCATCTTCCTGGTCCTAACTGGTGCCAGACTTCCCCTGGGCGAATGACAGAGGAACCCCCTCTCCGTCCAACACCTGGCATGGCCGGGCCCGCTCACCAAGCGAGACACCTTTTTCCCTTCCTCGTAGCTTTCYATACAGCAATTTCACAGCTCATTACCCGTAAGCAGAGTTCAGGTTCAAAGGTAATTTAGTAATCAAGCGTGTATTTTCACCTGAAATTTTATGTCGCCCATAGTTTGGAACGTCAACTGTTAAAAAGATGCATTTGTTAAGTGTTACATTTTTACAGCTTTAAGACTATCATAAGTGTGGTTTTGTTTAATTAAACCTTCTAAAAATTACATAGCTGTTGGTACACATTTCATGCCAATTATCTCAACATCTATATAGTGAGAGATTCCCAGGCTAATAAACTTAGTTATCAGGATAAATGGATTTACTGTATCCTCGGGGAAATTAATTTTGTTACAAAACTTCCACATACTGTATGTAGTTGTTGTGAACTTTCAGACTGTCATAAAATCAAAAGAGGTGAAGAGAAAGCGTGTTCAGTTACTGTATTGCGTGTTGAAGACCAGACATAAATACCAAATAGACCTGAATTTTATGTGTAAGAAGATATTCACACAACACCAACTAGCTGGAYCAAAAATACAGACGTTTATTCAGTCGTGTTTTTGGTGTCGAACCAGGAAATACGATCCTGTTTTAAACACCATATTTGGAATCTGGCCCCGCCCATTTCAAAACAGTAAGTCTCCCTAAACGCATGACCAGATTCTCGCACACATTTCCTGCTAATTGATGAGAAAATCTATGAAGATCAATGTGTGGTCAGTAACTAAATGTATCAAGGAGAGCACATTCTGTGACATGTCACTCAAACCAGGTTGTACCTTGACTAAATCACAGTTTAATCATAAAAATAGATGATAAGGTAAAATAAGTCGTAATCAAAATATAATCTAGTTAACCTAGAAATAAAACAGTACGTGTGATGCATTAAAATCAGTACTAAACCAAATAAATTTCACAGTAATTAAGTATCACTCGTCCGTTCTTAAGAGTTTTGACACTAATACGGGTCAAAAGAACTTTGTCCCGTGTGCTCTAAGTAAAAATGTCACCAGTGTCRAGTTTGAGTGATGAAGTGCATGAGGAGCAGGAACGGGAACACATCCTGGCATCATCTGGTGTATCAAATCAGTGGTCAGCCTGCCATTCATTGTCCTCTCGTTGAAAGAAACGGGTTTCAGATTAGTGAATCGCAATTAAAAAAATACCTGCATCCTTCTCTGCAGCTGAATCATGTCATCATCCGTGCATGAAGGAGAGGTGGAAGGCATGTTGCGTATGTTGCCGTCATGTCTTGCCTGGCAGGAAGGTACCACACATCTGAGACATGAAAGAGACACTAAATGTACACACTCCAGGTTTACTTTGAAGGAGAACAACAAAGGGTTAGCAAACCTTGAAGGAAGGCACATCACCCACCTACTACGATCATCCTGTTCCGAAATGACAAAGTTAGAGCCATTTTGGTCAAACCGTGAAAATAATTATCAATGTCAAATACAGACAGAGGCATGAGCAAGAACTTTGAGGCTCCACTTTAGTCGTCGGCGACAGCCGATGAGCGAAATATACCAGATATTTCCATTATTATTGCCAGATTAAATGTTGCCTGGGAGCTCTTTTAATCTGAAAATATTGGGTACATATTGCACACATCAGCCCCGGTTAGTGCTGCAAAYGCGGTGACACATTTAATCCAATCGCCAGAGGTAACACAAAGATCCTGACATCGCCTCTGATTAAAGCTTTAAAATCAAAGCACTGCACACATGGAGTACCTCCTGCTAGCTTTGCTAAGCAGCGGATAAGTGGCTGCTGAGGCTTGTGTGTCTACTACACAGGAATTCCTCCTCCCTAGTGTCTCACTCCAGCTACCAGGGGGAGAGGTAGACTGCAGGGCTGGTGCTGGCTGATTGACTCAGATACATGTGCTGCATATGTGATGCCCTTCAGTCTGTCAGCGAGAGGCGGAGAACGGGGGAAACGTGCAGACAGAAAGAGACAGAAAGACGGGCAGAGAAGCAGAGTAAGAAAGAGATCTGATCGGCCCGCAATTGCTTCCCATTTGAATCTGCGTGTCTTTGGAAGGTGACGTGTTATTCGGGGATGTCTGTCTCCCGTGCGTACTCTTCCGGGCATCAGTGGAGTCTGCTGCACTCAGCAGTCAGCGTGTTTGTTCACAGCAGCCGGGAGACTGCACAGCTGACAAACCACAGCCGGTTGCCTCAGTCCCAGCAAGCAACGCAGGCAGAAGATATGCTCCGTGTGCCTCAGTGATCCTCCAGGGAGGCACCATTTAACGGCAGGCAGGCGCTCCGTTTATTTGTGTTTTGCTGATTAAAGTTGATCCATACTCAGTGATGTGTGATTAGGAGGTTTATTTAGCCAAGTGCCCCCGCTGGACTGGTATTGATTTATCACATTTATATTCAAAACAGCTTTTTTGCTGTAATGTGTTCTCACAATGAAAAAGATGACTTCACGATTCAAAATGTAAAAACTTTCCACTCAACTGGAAATGTAAAAAGTGTGGAACTGACGAACACAAACATTTGCACGTAAAATGCTTAAAAGGTGCACATTACTGCAGTGTTTTGACTGACGATAGTTAAGAAAGTTCATCCGAATCAATAACCTGTCTCCTATCTCTTGGAACAGCCGACTCCACCAAGCACTTCCCATGAAGCAAATGTGGGCACCAGCCCACTAAAGCACAAATCCGCTAATTGCGGACCTAAAAATTTTGTTTGTGCTTTAGCGGTCTTACTAATTTTTATAATTCATAAGCAAATTTGCGCTTTCTAAAATTATAATGCAGTACCGCTAATAACGAATTATCTACCAGTCATCATTATCTTGAACAGCGGAAGGTATGGCTGTCAATGAATCACAACACATGTGATCCATCCAACAGCACCCCTCCCAGATAAACTCACTTGTTAGAAAGGTATACATCCTTGCTGACTGTTGCTTTGGGTCACGGTTCTGATTTCCCACAATGCTTTGTGTCTGCTTACGTAGCAGGAAGGCAATAGCAAAAACAGTTAACGTTTGTCATCCATACTAAAATTTTGCATGTATTGATTTATTTTACTTTACAATTGGAGCTCCTTTAAAAAAAAAGTTTAAACACTGGAGCTCAATACTTGATGTAATTGGTCGAAGCAATCGGCCAATGGGGTTAGAGACTCGGAAATGATTTAAAGATGTTATGCTGATGAAGACTGACATCTAGTGGTCAACTGGAGCAACTACATGGAAAACTTTAAAATCCAAGCTCTTATTTTGAAGGGAAGATAGTTTCCTGTACTCCATGCTTTCTTTTCCCTTCACAAATCAAATCCGTCATGTACCCAGAATGTATCGCTTTAGTTTTCCAATAAACAGTTTTAAAATTACTTTATTGATGCTTCTTTAATGAAAAATCTACAACAAACAAAAGAAAAAGACAAAGAAGCAGCCGAACTAGCAATCCTCAACAACTTTTTAAAGAATCAGCCGAACTAGCAATCCTCAACAACTTTTTAATTTTTACACCAGGATCTAAAGGTCTGTTTCAGGAAATCACATCCCCAGCAATTGGCTGTTGTAGAATTAAGTTGTAAAAAAGTTCATACACCGCTAGTTGGCAGTGTTGTACATATTTTGTACATGAATTGTTGCCAGCTTGGAAGTGTCAAATTGAACTTGCGCTTTAAAATTAGCTTCCGCTATTTTTCTATGGCATGAGTGCTTTTCAAGTTGCAGACCTAAATATTTTCATAAGCGCTTTAGAAATTGTGGAGCTAATTTTTGAATTATCGCTGCCCACCACTGCCACGAGATAAGACCCATTGGCGCAAGACTGGACCTGACTGAGCGAACGTGCATTTCCTAAGGGATTTACCAACTGTGGGGCCATCGGGCGGCAGGTGGGACCCTATAAGTAAATACTCGCATAACCTGAACACATTTTTTCAGTGAGTACTTTGCTGAACCGTGAAAAAGTTAGAAAAAAATAGGCTAAAGTAAGGGTTGTAGTTTTTGCCAGACAAAAAATACTAAAGGTCCAAAGTTCCTTCAAATAATACATTTTCCCCTCTTCATTAAAGCTGAGTTGCTCACTCTTTTGTCCTGATTTTCAATTATTTTTTTAAATTTTATTTTACCCTGTCATTTTTTTCATTTATGGTTTTCCCAATCAGATGACTTTTCTCTTTGTGTGTGCAGATGACGATGATGAAGGTGAGCGCAACAGTCTTCCCCTCAGGCCCCTCGCCAGCTTCTTCTCTGACAACGACTTGCTCAAACAGCAAAAGAAGAAGAAGCCCAAAAAAAATAAAGAGAGCAAAATACCCAAAGTTAACAAGAGGAAAAAAGAGGTGAGGTCTTGTTCGCACACAGCCCAGTCTTTCATCACCTCAGACACAACGGTTTGGCGGGAGTTTTGGCTCAAGCTGCGCACCACATTCTTTGTTTCCCACGCCATCACTCTGTCRACGTTTTAGCTGTTGGATCTGGGGTGTGTTTTTCTCCGCTCCACTGCCTCTGAAATCGGAATGAGAGGCAGTGGACGGTCCCCAGGCCTTCGGGGAGGTTGGCACCACTGCCACTGTTATTGCCAGTGTAAGCTGTGGGCACCGAATGCCAGTTTAGAGTGTGGGTTTGTGCCTGTGGTGCTGGTGCTTATGGCAGGGACTTTGGGTCACAGGCGCAGCGCTTCGGCCAAACCAGCAGCAGGAGTCAGAACTCTGACTGAGCAGCTTCGACAGAAAGGCTTCTTTAGATTTTAGTTTCTAGGATTATTCAGCTTAGAAACGACAATAATGAAAACCAGCAGGTTTTCAGACATGAAGGTTAGAAGATGTCCAGGAGAACATGCAGACAGTTTGGTCACATTGGGCAATCAAGGATTAGATGTTAGCTCAGGGATGGGCAACTTAAAAGATGGAAGAGGACACAAATTATTGTCAACACTGCCAGAGGGCCTCATAGCGCTGCATACTTACTTGATTGTGATAAAACTGCCATTTTCAACATGTCTGTGTGTATAAATATATTAGTAAACCATCATACAGTTCAGTAATAGTTCATACTCATTTGCACGTTGTACTCTTACAAACTGTTTTGAAGCAAACAAAAAAGAAATGTTTAGCAAGATGAACTGCAATGGTGTAAGACACCTTATAGCCTGATAAAAACCAGCCCCTTGGTCTATGCCAGGGCTATTCAACTGATGGTCCGCGGGCC